TTCTTGTGAAATCCTCTCACTCACTTTCGTATCTCTACTGAAGAGACCACCGTCGCCGTGGTTGGAGATGACACTTATCGCAGCATCTGAAGTTTTTTTTATTTGGTGTGTGTGTGTGTGTATGAGATCAAGCCTGTTCAGGGTCTACATATCACGCTGCACCTGTGTGCTGGCGGAAATGCAGCCCCCCCCCCCCCTTTACCGTCACCACAACACACATGCACAAACTCACACAAATACACATTAGCCGCCTGTACTGTCTCATGTCTGTCTTTTAACCTTAATACTTGACATTTTCATTGTTGACACCACTCTTTCGTTTTTTTATGTTATGTGAAAGTTAGACAAATGAAATATTACAATAGATGCATGAGAAATTGTAAAAATAAAAGCTCAGAAAAACGACTTCATCATCATCGGATATGTATCAGTTTTTCTCTGTACACAAATACAAAAATGTTGTATACAATATTCCATCATTTCTACACTGGTATATTATATTTGTACATACACCTTCAGTGTTAACAGTGCATGGTCAAAGTATTACTTGGCTGTTTTTGGCCTAAACAGTAGTTTTCAGTGATAAAAGCGCTCTACCTGCAAAGCACCAAACAGCAGATTAGCATAGTTAGCTAAATGTAGCCAGATACGTATTTTCCTCAGGAGTTAATAGAGAATAAAGCGGGGCTGAAAGAATATAAATGTAGGACTTACATTCATAAGTTGCTGCAAATAAATGCTCATGTTGTTCTGTATGTATCTGAGTATTTGTTGCATGTGAAAATTGGCGGCTTGCAACAATTAAAGGGGACCTACAGTATCATGCAAAATGCACTTTTTGATGTCTTTTATACATAAATATGTGTCCCCGGTGTGTCGGAGAACTCACGCAGCATCAGAAAATAAAACCCTCTCTCTTTTCCTCCGTACCCAAATCTCTAAAAACGGGGGAACAACGGAGCTGATCCAGATTTGCATCCGATATGACGTAATATCGGAAATGTAGACCCACGGCACTATCAGAAACGTTGCTATCAGAAACAATGCCCGACTGTTTTGGACGTAATATGGTCGGTGTTTACATTAGCATCGCTAACACTCAGAGCTAACCTGTACTGGAGAGCATGTGTGTGAAGAAGCTGGCAAGAGAGAAAGCCTTTGAGCTCCATACTGTTTCAGAAAGAATCCTTGATAATCCATGATATGGTGTTTCATCACGGCAGAATTTAGTTTAGACAGTAGCTGCCGGGTCCCGCATGAGCTCAGCCCCCTCCTTTTTTATTTTGTATCAATCCTTTAATTTTTTTAAAGCTTTATACCCAAATCAGCACTTTTGAAACAGGAAGTGAAATAGAGGGATATGAGGCATGGAAAGAATGGGTGATGTGTTTGGTATTGTGAGCAAAACACTTCATAGACATGTTTTTTATATATTTTTATATATCTGAGACCTATGCTATTGCCTACAAAAAGCATGATAGGTGAACTTTAATGGTAAGAATGTATGTCAATGTCATGTTCAGGTTTCCACTAGAACCAGATGAAACAATGAAGTAAGTTATTACAAGTGTATGGATTTTGGAAGAAAGTTGAAATTGCAGATAGAATCTGAATAGACACACAAACACAATAATAAACAAATGCACATTCACACACAAACACATTATGCTTGAAGTCAGTGCTTCAGTTTAAATGAGACTCCAACACTCAGTGGAGCAGTGAATTCCTTCTATTGTTTTTTAACTCTTATTCTTTGACTTAAAAATATGTAGGATTGCAGTCAAAACTGAAATAATCCCTTCACCCTTCACCCTACACTTTAGAAGTTTTTGAACAAGTGCAGTTTAAGTAATGCCAAGTTTAAAGACATCATTCGTGAATTTTTGGGCTTTTCCCTGCATTGCAGCGCTGTTCCCCAAATGGCTTTTAAGAAAAAGAAAAAACGCCCCACTCGTGTTTTGTCCATAATACTGACTTTATGCAGCCAATATTCCCCCCCCCCCCCCCCCGTCAGATGTGTTTACTGTCTCTCTCGGTTGTATGTAGGCCAGGTTGACCACAGGGCTGCCGAGGAGGCCGCCAGGTGTCCCCCTGCCTCCAGCTGTGATCAGAAACACTCTCTGTGGTTTTTACTGAGAAAATGCCTCGCAGCAGAGGTGTGAATACACAGCTTCAAGATCTGCTCACTTTACACACACACACACACACACACACACACACACACACACACACACACACACACACGCACACGCACACACACACACACACACACACACACACACACACACATTCAAACTGTATGTGACTGAGAGCATAGCCCATGTTTCACATCACATTATACATACACTCACATGGCACACATCCACAGCATAGATGCATCACTACTTTATCAACATTACAACTTTTAAAATGACCTGCTTTCTATGGCCAACGTCACTCTGCAGAAAACCCAAAAGCACCTGAACACACCGGCACACCTACAGTAGCAGCCCACTTTAATATGAAACGTACTCTTTGGCTCATCCACAAAGCGGTTCATTATATGACATGTGGCTTATTTTACGGCAATATCTTCTGTGCTACACACATGTCTGTGTAAAGCCTGAGATGTTAAATGTGCAGGAAACCACAGAGACACTCGGCTCGAGCGCCACACAATGACATTTAACATCATATTCTCTCTGTCTCTCTCTCTCTCTCTAACACACACACACACACACACGCACGCACGCACGCACAAACACACACACACACACACACACACACACACACACACACACACACACACACACACACCATGTTGACATGCTCACAATTACCATGCTAAGACAATAATATTTAGTAGATAAAATGATTTATATATTCACCATCTTAGTTTAGTATGTTAGCATGCTATCTAGCTAATTAGCCGTAATGTCAGTAGTTTTGTAAGAATTTAGTCGTTAACCAAAGTATTGGACAAACTGTGCTTTCTAATTTGTCTGATATTTTATTTATATAGATCATAAACACAATTGTTCTTTAATGGGCTTTACAATATGTTCAACATACAACACAGTTTATCCTAATCTCAGGGTTAGGATATAGAAAAACGACCTAATTCTCATCGTCCACATTACATGAGGTGTGTACAGGTTAGATATAGCGATGCGTTGGAAGACAGATGACCAGCTACACTTATCTGTGTAGAATATCATGATGTTGTAAATCAGCGGTGGAAAGTAACCATGTGAATTTAAAAGCTGTTGAACTTTGCAGCAATCTCAAAAGATTCTTACTGACCCGTGTTCTCAGTTTCATTTGATTTAACACGAAGAACTTTCACACCAGTTTGAAACATCTAATAGGTGCCAGACCTGCTCTGGTTTTCTGACTATAGGTAAAAACTAATGTTGGTTCTACAGAGAATATTTGACACCAGGCTGCACTAAATAACAAAACAGCAAAAGATGCTGAGATGATCGTCGAATATGAGGTGATTCTCTTCATCCATTTCTTTACCAGCGTTAATGTTGTAAGAAAAACAGCTGACACCTTTCAGTGTGTAATTCAGAAGCTTTCTCACTCAGGATTTTACAGAAACTGTTTTGCCTTTATAACCTCCTTTTCACGACCTTTATTTATCCACAAATGTTCTGCTGTGCACATCAGTTGTTTTTATGGCAACGTTCTACTTCTGATTTCACAGATACACACATTCAAGTCTGGTGCATTCAGTCTAATGCTGTTTAAATTCCTTCCTCAAGGGCTCAGCGAATGGAGTTCACTTTCAGATTTTCCCAGTAAAAAGAGAATGAAACCAGAGACCTTTTATTTGTATTATTTGTTTTCAAAAGTCAAAAGTCAAAGTCAACTTTATTGTCAATCTCAAAATATGTGTGTACACACAGTAAGATCGAAATATAGGTATAAAATAACACATTAAAATACAAGAACACTCAATAATTACAAAAACCCCACAAAATAACCGTTTACTTTATGACCACCACAGCTGGTAAACACAATAAAATGACTTGGAAGTTTAGTAAAGCAAAAAAGCATGTGATATCTTAAACCAATAGAGCAAAGCAACCTTATTCAGCTCACTATACAGTAATATGTGTTGCCGTGTGGACTCCTTGAACTCTAAATAACATGCAAAACAATAGGGTTCAAAGCAAAGAGTTAAAAAAACCTTCATAAAACAATAATGGTGTTCAGACAAATTGCTCACACAAAAACAAAGTGTGTGTTTTGGATGAATGTTAATAAGTTATAAGTTATTTTTTACTTTACACAAATGTATATTTAACTTACAATGACTGTAAACTGCAATGTAAGTAAGTAGGCGATAAAAAAGGCATTTCTTCCAACTTTCAAGCAAACTCCATGTATAATGAAATCAGGACTGTTATAGGAACCACATGACTAAAGTGGCTGGAGAGTGAATAAACAACACAGCGGTATGTGTGTGTGTGTGTGTGTGTGTGTGTGTGTGTGTGTGTGTGCGTGCGTGCGTGTGTGTGTGTGTGTGCGTGTGTGTGTGTGTGTGTGTGTGTGTGTGCGTGTGTGCGTGTGTGTGTTTCACTCAGAGTATAAATATAGGGCACAGGAAAAGACGGAGGAAATGTTTGGCTGTTAATGCGACTCCACAGCCATTATTTTCCAAGAACGCTTCCTCTGCTTCTTCCAGCTCTGCCCTCTTCCTTTTTCCTGGAAAGTCGGGAGGGCACTAGAATAACAGAAATCTTATAAAAACTAAGATGTTTTTCTTTCCTCTTTTGAACAATATCCAGCTCAGAAAGAGAATGGAAATGTGTAATTAACATAAAAATGTTCCTCCTGTTCCACATGAATCACCCAGCTTTGTAATAACATACCATACAGTTATTAGTCAGTCTTAGCATGCTACCGTTAACAGTAAAGGAGTGACTAACGCCTCCTGATGTTACATCTGATTAAACGCTGGTTTAAACGCTGGTTTATTGACGTATGTATTTTCTCTCTGTCTCCACCTTCAGCTCCGTGAGAGCAGAGTTTGTTATTTTGCCCCATGGAGCACCTGAGAGCGGAGAAACATCCAGGGGCCGTGCAAGCGTTCCTCACATTCTGAACCGAAAACCACATGGTGGGTTTAACCCTAATGACATCTGCATGACTTGCATAAAAGGGAATCTAACGTCCAATCTAGATAAGTGGGCACAGAATCAATAGAAAAGAGGGAAAAAGGGGTCTTCTCTCTTTCGCCCTGCAGGCTCACAGGCGTTCACATTACGGATCACACTGCATCGTCCTGGTTGTTTGTCTTCTCATCGTGACTGACTGTTTAGTTTGAAATAAAACTCTCTCTCTGTCTCACACACAGAACGAGATATGCTCACAGAAAACAACACGCCCTTGTTATAACTGGAAAGTCACAACTGACATCCCTCTGCAGGCGGCTCTGGGCCAACCGAACAGACTTACCCCGAGCTGGAGCGCAAAAATAAAACACTTCTCATTATGCCAGGGTCATTCTGAGTAAAACACACACAGTTACATTTCATACACAGTCTGACGCAGAAGTGGAATGTAACACTTGTGTACTATTTGAGTTTATTGTACTTTACCATTTTATGATACTTTAGACTTTTTCTCCACTTCAGTTTGGAAGCAGATTTTCTACTTTTTACTACACTAAATGTTTATTATCACAACTTTACTTTGCATATTCACATTCCTATTAAGAAGTAGTTTAAAAAACAAACCTTTCTGCTGCAACATTAAAGTGATATACTCATTACTGCATCAATAATGATAATACAATAATATCATATATTGTTAAATGGGGAATTCTGAATGATACATTTTTTACCTTTACATTTGTTGTGCTTTATCCATATTTGATTGCAGCTCTATAACTTGTAACAGTATTTTTAAACTGTGGTGTAACACTCATCTTGAAGATTTTCATTTAAATAAATCTACGTTGGTTTGATTGATTGGTTTTGGTGGCTAAAATCCACTTCAAGACACTGGTACTAGCGTACCATGCTGCGAATGGATCTGGCCCTTCAAAGTCAAAGTCAGCTTTATTGTCAAAAATTCTACATGTGTTATACATCCAGAAATATCAAAATATCGTTTTCTGCAGTCCTACAGTGTGACATGTATACATAAAACAAAACAAAAAGGGCCTAGATAATCCAGGACATGGATTAAACCATACACCCCAGCACGTGCACTCCGCTCTGCATCAGCCAAACGGCTCGCTGCACCCGCACTGCGAGGGGGACCCAAGTTCCCATCAGCAAAAACACGTCGGTTTGCTATCCTGGCTCCAAAATGGTGGAATGAGCTCCCCATTGACATCAGGACAGCAGAAAGCCTACACATGTTCCGGCGCAGACTGAAAACTCATCTCTTTCGACTCCACTTCGAGCAACTAACAAAGCACTTATATACTAATAAAGGACTGGCTTATCTAAAGCTAGTTGAGTAGCACTTGAAATGTTTTGGCTCTATGAAACCTGATTATATGATTCTGTTTTTCTTCAAGTTTGTATCTTCTTGGTCGAATGCACTTATTGTAAGTCGCTTTGGATAAAAGCGTCAGCTAAATGCAATGTAATGTAATGGTGGCATTCCCTGGAGAAATCACGATCTCTGGAAGAAGAGTTCCCAAAACACACTTGCAATTATATGTTTTTGTAAAGGTTGCCGCCAAAGGGAAGAAAACAAAGATCTTTAAGATTGTAACTTTAGCGAAACCTTTCAATACTCCTTCCACCACCTACTCACTGTCTATCATCAGTCTGCACATGTGCTGCAGTATCAATCTGATAATATGAGGACAGCGCCCGTTAGTATTTTTACCCGCATTGACAGAAATAAATGAATTTGAAGTACACCCAATTGTGCTTGTACACTGCAGTGTGTATATATGTGTGTGTGGACGTCTTTATCTGGTACTCACAAAGACTAGTCTCTGCCTCACCCTAAAACGAAGTCATTCTTAGAAGTTGTCCCGGTGTGACCCTGTTGTTCACTGAGAGCAGAGTCTGGTACACACAACAACCAGAGTACAAATTCAACTTGGACTTAGTGCATTCTTTTTAATCACGTCTTTTGTCACATTATATACTATGTAATTGTGACTCTCTTGACATGTTTGGATTTTGGAATCTGGAATCACATTAAGTTGAGTATTTATAACTTTAAAGCAACACAGAGTGTCTAAACAAGCTGTAAACAAAGCTCTGACATATTACCACCTTATAAAGCTGTTGTGGCAAAAGCTGTATTTGAACACTTCTGGCAATCCAAAGTGACATTCACAATGTATTGTGTCCACACAGAGAATGCCCAATGTCTAACATTCACTCCACTTGTAGCTCTATTTTAGACTACAGCAACTCCTGAAGGAAATAATCCGGATTTTTAGATAGATAGAGAGATAGGTACTTTATTGATCCCAATTTGGGACATGTTTGCATTGCAGCAGCATACAAAACACAAGGCAATGTATAAGAGAAACTAAGACACAGAAATAAACAGTCCAATATATTTCAGAAATGGAAATAGCTTCTGAATGCTCACATGCTATTCTCTCACTTTATTCACCTGCTCTTGAACACTTGGCATGTTGTGAGCAGAAGGTTTTTAGAGCCTTTTCTTCTAAAGCAGCTGCCTGCTGTTGCTGGGAAAAAAGCTGATGGGATTAAAACTGTACATTTGCCTAAAATCAAAACAATGAGCTGAAAGGGGCTAAAGTGCTCTGTAGTGCTGAGGGGCACTGAAGACTATCAATCCCTTTCACATCGCACATTTGTCCCCTGGCCAATTAATTGTATTGAAATATTTATAACTGAATCCTTAAAGGACATATGGATTTATTCAGCTATAAGCCAAAATGTTAAGGAACTCATTTCAATCAGCAGAAGGAAAACTGAGATTGAAATGAATATGCAGACAGCCAGGTTATAGAGGGCAAACGTGTGCAAATCAGTGCCTTTTGATTGAAAAACAGAATAACATGAACACAATGTGGCCTGCTTCATTACTAGAACCATTTCACATACAGTATGGACGACGTGCTGAAATTGATGTTCAACTTCACACACCTGATGATGTCTAAGACTGCTTCTTGTCAGTAATGCTTAGTATCAATGGGAGGTAATGCACAGCCAGAGATACATCCCCTGTGGAAAAGTACAGGGTGTTCAGTTTCTCCTTGCCCTGTTTTGAGATAAAGCAGGCAGAAACCCTCACCTAAGGGTTTTTGCTGCAACCAGAGCCTCTCTTTCCTCCATCTAACCTCGTGCACAGACGCAACGGCTCAGCAGAGCGCACGAGCGCAACCTTATCAGCAGGCTAAAGCCTCTCCTCTGCTCCGTACCAGGGCTGACAACTAACTGTCGCGCAATGACTGGATTTCTCTGATAACCTTTTATGTGTTCCTCCTGCATATCACCACTGGTGCAATCTTGCTTCATACACAGGCAGCCAGAGAGGTGAGCTGAGGTGAACTCCAATCTTTTCCGACATATTGAACATATGTCAGATATATCTTCATGCAAGGCTGCTTTGTGCGGTGTGTGTGTGTGTGTGTGTGTGTGTGTGTGTTAACCAGCACTGTCACACACACAACATTGTGGTGAGGTTGTCCTTAGTGACCTAAATGAAATTAACTGTTTCTGACTGCTGCCAGTTTTGAATCAGAGAGGTCATGGGTCAAGGCCCATTTAATAAGAGACAGTGCCCTCTGGTGGCCACATGTTATAGTCAAATAACACTTTAAAAAGGAGATAATTTAAAGGAAAAATATAAGTGTATTTCTGATTTATAGGAAGACAAACATCCAATATTTTCAGTTTCAACATGTTTTGGGTATTTTGGCGGACCAAGGGTTAATGCACTGACCTAAACTGCAGTGTCCCTTTGTGTGGGCAGGGGACTGTGTTGTGTGTTATTGTCCACCTACGTGTATCTCCGCTCATTGAGTGTTTGAGCTCAATTTTGTTAATTCAATAAAGGCACAAATACAATTCAAAAATAAGATCAATCATCCATAGAATGTCATATCTATAACCTTTTTATACTCGATGACAATTCAGTTTCAACAACAGAAAAATTATGTTTGGGATCATACATACAGTAACAGATGCACATCTTAGAGAACTTTATTCAATTAGATCATTATAAGCCATATTTTCCAGAAAAAAAAAAGACATCTTGAATATATTATGCTACCTTTGAGATGAATGAAGTTCTGCTTTTGTCTTAAATTGGATTTCTTTGCAAACATAGTGCACATGGTCAGGTGAAGGTATTCACATCCTTTCTCCCATTTCCTCACAATAAATATGAAACGTGTTCAGAAAGTGTTTCAGTGGCACACGCTATCAGATATCCTTTGTTACTGTTGTTCGGTGTGTACTTGAATATTTTCTAGCACACTTGTTTTTTCCATCACTATACTGTACCTTAAAGAGCTGTTCAGAGACAGTAAGCAGCATCTGATGAGCAATATCCACAAGCTGTATTTAATTGATATCTAGACACATATATGAAAGATGTACTGTATATACATTCAAAACAAATCACACAGAAGCCCACTGCTATGTACAACTGTTTATTTTTGATTTGCAAAACATCTGACAAATAACATTACATAAACACCAATTTATAATAGAAAAAGAAGATCTTTGAAAAAAAAGAGGCAAAAGATAAATTGCAATTACATTAGAATTGAGGTGGCAACTTTTATTTGATAATTGGAGCCATACCATGCTGACCTACACAGGCAGTTTATGGCTAATAGATTCATAAGTATGCATGTGTTATAAGCAATACGTTAAGTGCTTTTGTTGGATCAGGCATTTTAATTCAATGTGGCAATATTTGGGTTCACAATACAGGGTGAGAATACAATGCCAATTTCAAATGTGACTCCTTAGAGAAGATCAATATACATTGCTAATTTCATACTACTATTTAAGAGGCCAATCTCACACTTGGGCAACTTTCTCATTCGAATTACACTGGGGAACATCTGAAGCCCGCTTCATTAACACCTTCCCTGCATTAACAGGGTTTTAATATGGCACACAGCTTGGGGTGGGCAGGTGTGACCATGGCGACATTGTTCCTCAGTATTCACTAATCAATAAAAATTCACTTATTTCATTCAGTGTTTACCTGAAGCAGTTTGACATGAATACAAAATAAACTTGGTTTAAAAATTCACCAAAGTGAGTAGTTGCTCCGTTAATATGATACTACGATCTGAAAGTATTTTCCCCAATAAGCACCACTAAGTTGCGTTTCAATGACACAATATTTCAATGAGGCTTGTCGCGCCGCTGCGGGCTGACTTTTGGACGATGCCTGCATCATGTTGCGTCAACAACACGCAACTTGGTGACGCTCCAGATAAAAGCAGCATTGCATGGATACTGAGGATTTTTATTTCTCCTAGATTCCCCTTGTTAGACCAAACATCGGCAGGGAATGATGAAGGGAGCAGACTTTAGGACAGGAGGAGAGGGTATAGGGGGAAATGACAGAGGGGGGGGGGTAAGAGGGACAAGGGAAGGATGGCGTACTACAGAGCAAAGACCGTGCTAACAGTACCAAGTGGAGCGCAAACACACCTCCCTCTTCTCCTACTGCCACAAAGTCTCTCAGGTTGTTCCTTCTTCGCAGCTGCATTCACTCCACAAAGTGCTCCTCTGCACTGTGTCCTCAGGAACCATAACCATGGAGGTACATATCAACAACATGGCAACCAGATTTATTGCATCTGATGTTGATAGATATCTTAAAGGTCCCCTATTATACTGTTTTTCATCAATATATTATAGGTCTCAGATATATACAAAACGTGTCTCTGAAGTGTTTGGCTCGAAATACCAAACAGATCGTGCATTGTAACATCCCATAAACCCCTCTGTTTCAGCCCCGTTTCAAAAGTGCTGATTCTGGGTCTGTTACTTTAGATGAAAATAAGGAGCCACTCCCCACGCCCCTCTGAGATATTTGGTTAAAAAGAACACAATGGTGCTCTAGGAGGAGATTCAGGTGATAAGGTGGTGGGGGGTTACCTTGGTTGGTTATTTGCAAATGGTTACACAAGCCAAAAAATCGTTATGACATCATAAAGTGGCCAAAATCTGATTAGCTCATTTTCAGACCGGTTTTTATATAAATGGATCAGGACAAAAAGAGAGCGAATACTTTTTCTTGAAACTTTCAGAATCTCTTTACACAGAGGGGACACATGTTTATATATAAAAGACGTGAAAAAGTGGATTTTGCATGATAGGTGACCTTTAAGGACACAGAGGCAGAGGAGGGTGTCTTCTACTGGAGTGGATGCAGCCTCACCCTAGCCAGTCTGAGCTCCGTCAGTCAGAGTTCAGGCACTATATTAAAAACACTCCTGGTATTTTGTGCGTTAAAAAAAAGAAAGAAGGCAATGCTATGTCCGAGAAGAAAAAAACTGTACAAAAAAAATCGAAGAAAAAAAAAAAAAAAAAAAAAAACTATGAATGACTTCATTAGCTGGACTCTCCCAAAATCTGTGAGATATCTCTGAGGTAATCATTGAAGTATGACTCATTAGACAGCAATAAATACCAACATGAATACAAATATTACAAAAGTAAAAACAGAGGCAAATGCTTAATGCTAAAGCAAAAAATCTGGTGCTAAAAGAGGTAGGTTTTTTAGGTAGATTATGGTGTACATCCATTGTGGACACTCCTTTTTGTAGGAACTAAATTAAGTTGATTCCATTACAATCCCTGTCCTAATTGGAGAGAAAAAAAAAACGGAAACAAAAAAGACTTGAGAGCCTTCGTGTGGGGGATCTGAACCGGACTGATATCATACATCTGTTTACAGACAGGATTTGTAATGGCAACAGTTATACAAAAAAACTTCAAAAATGTCTACATACATGATAAACTGTAAAGCTTGCTGGTGATAGTGTACCATGAGTTGTATATTGCAGCTGTTGTTACTGTATTTTGTTGCCAATCTTGAGGAAATCTCCCCAAAAAGACGGCCTCATCTAGTGTGTGGTAGATATCCATTTTCAACGACCTCAATGCTGCCTACCATGGTAAAGCCAAACAGGAACAATCTGGGGATGCACCATGTGTAGCTTGAACTGTATGTGCATGCTATGTAGTATTTGAGGATTAGCTTGGGAACTTTGTCCCATAAACAACATGTATTCACATATTTACGGAGTACAAATGGGAGAAAAGAGGCAATATGATGCATCCACAAGACTCTTCCTGTTTGGTTTTCAAAGCCAAAAGAGCAACTCTTCTTTTACCCTGTTCTTTTTTATGGAGGGAACTCTCCCTGTGGCACTTACAATGTTCACCAAACCTCCCGCTGTGTTAAACATACACAAATCAACACCGCATCTCTATCTCAACAAAAACAATATATACTAAATCAAACCCATTTCTACATACAGGAAGTATGTATTCAGAGAAAATCTACAAGGAGACTTTTCAAAAACTTCAAAAGTCAGTGTTCAGTAACCAAGCACATCATGCCCCTCCTCAAACTGACATTCTATACATACGAGTGGTACTGCCTAAAGACACTCCAGTCTCTACTCCTCAACGTCCAATCACTGTAGGGACACTTTTGCTTTGTGTGTGTATCTATATCCATATACAAATACACCCACAGACTACATATCCCAAAACTCATGATTAACTGAATTGTATTTAACTAATGAATATCTCCGTGTCCAGTGCTGACTGTCAGCTTGCAGAGTGTCACAGTGACTTGATGAAGAGTTGGAATAAAAAGTCACAGTGGCGGAGAACGGACATGAAATCCTATAGAAGGTTTACAAACTCATGTAGGCTGAACTAACTGAAAGCAACAACTTCTCCCAAAGCAGAGTTGTGGGAATACATCCAGCTCAACGGCAAACACATGCGCTCTCCCACTGCGTAACCCTGGTCTGCTCCCGGCCAATCACAGCAACCGTTTAGGTGTCTTCTGTCACACAGCAAATAGAAGACAAAATAATCAAGTTTGAGACTCGCAAACTCTCTGCAAAGGACTTCATTTAAGCCAAGATGCCTTAGGGAAATCATCTGAACACGGCAAGAATTCAACTTCTTTGGGGAATTGTGTTGAAATAAAAATTACATTTTATTTGATAGAATTTCACCATAATTCCGCATGCAGCAAGCCGTACATTACTGGCCCCTAAACCTAAGCGCTAACGCAGTTTGGTTTATAAGCCATTAGATGCTGTTTAATGAAGCATAAGCCAAAGATGACTGACAGCACTTTGACAGCAGAGAGAAGGCATACGAGTTCCTTTCATGTACACGCTTATCTGCCAAGAGCCCTGGATAAATAGCATATGAGTAAGAAGATTATATAATGAGGATATCCAAGGCTCTGGAAACATCATTTAAATTCACTGTAATAGATCAGGTGTATTATTGATCTATATGGCTTATATTAGAGAGCAGCACGTTATGTTAAGCTTGTCCTCTTTCTGAAAAGAAACCTTGGAAATTAGGCAAATACATCAACCCACCACTAAAAAAGATATAATTTTACTGAATCAAATACACAAGCAATCCCTGTTTAAGCCATTTCTAATTCATTTTTACCAAAAGATCAAAGTCAAAAGAACATAGTGTCTCAGAAACATAGTGATAGTGAATCAAATAGAAATGGGTCAATATTGTATTTGCATATATATTTCTGAAAAAGTTGGCCTTGAGAAATATCTATGTAGCCCTATGTACAGCGACAGACATATGATATAGCTGGTATTTACAGAATGCAGCCACTAGAGGGCTGCGCAGCATACATCATCTTACAGGAGGGCCTGGGTGTGGAGCTGCGCTGCCAGGCCCTCCGACATTCTACAAAATCCACTTCCCTGTCAGAAACGAAAGGGGTGTGATATCTGGGTCTGAAGCAGCTTCCCTAGCTCTCCGCCCACAGAGCTCACTGTTTACTAAGAAGGAACAATTCATGGAATTGTTTTTAAAGGTGATGTGACATTAAAAAACCAAACAAAAACATCCATTGCAATTACATCAGTATATATATATATATATATATATATATGCCAATTCCAAGTATGGTATGCAGCTATATATTAACAAGACAGGCCCCTTGCTTTGGCCTCGATTTACTATTCCAGTTAGATTTGGCATCTTAGCCCTTTAAAATCTGTGATAATATAGATAATCAATACATAGGCTTGCGTAAAAGGTGGAATAACAGTGCTTAGGATACGTGTGGTAGTAATTAACTATTTACAGGGAAACACACAATTAAACAGAAAGAGGAAGAAAGAAAAAACAATTTCAAAAAAGAGAGTCTGAAGCCATAATGCCGGCTGAGTTTGATTGACAGTTAGCAGTGTACAATATCTAAAACATTTAGTGGCTAATTCTCACCTCAAGACCAGGCACCCCAATGTCCCATCAAAACCTCACTAAATGACAGACTATGCTCTGTACTCTGCAGTATAAACCTAACGAATGACAGTTTCCTTCATAGGCTGTGAGGCTAGTATGTCGAGTGGCTGCATGCGCGAAACGAGCCATGAAGCAGCAACGGTTATTTTTAGGTACTGGAAGCTTTTTGAGAAAGTAGACCATACCTTTGGTGAAAGGCAAAAGGCATGCGTTTGCATTGTATACAGTCATATACATACATCCGCTGCCTTACAGAGAAGTAGATGAAAAACAAAAATAAAAAAGTTCTGAACCATTAAAAACCTTTTGCACTGAAATGTGCATCCTGTATCTAGCTTTGTGTAAAAGTAACTGTTTCACTTAGGTGGTGTAAAACAACCCAAGTGAAACAAAGAGGTAGCTCAACTGAATGGCTAAAATGAATAACTGAGTATGTTTGTTGTGTTGATGTGTGCATGCCATGTACACACACACACATAAAGTCCAGGCATTTGAAGCAGCGGTTTGTTGATTTAAATACAGACAAAGACACTGCATATAGGCAGAAGTTGTATGAATAGTTAAATGTGTATTATATGAAGTCTCCTTTGTTTACTACGTCCCCTAACATCTGCTTGCTCTCCATACAACCTTGCTCTTCATGCCAAGATAGGCTTCTTTAGACAAGACGCACATAAAACCACACATCCAAAACACTCAAACACACACACGCATCTCTTTCTCTCTTCCACTAGCTTCAAACTCCACACCTCCATTAAGTCGCTCCAGCACACCCTCGGCGCTCTCTCTCTCTCTCTCCATTTCTACCCTAAGAGGGTCTCCTCTCCAACGTAGGGAGCTCAGAGGGTCTAGGAGACCTCGCTGCCGAACACCTCCAGCACCAGCGGGGTGAGCTGCATGCTGTGCTCCGGCTGGAAGGAGAGAGAGCGGTACTGCTTGGAGTGCTCCTCGTTGAGGCTGCGCAGGTCCGCCAGCTTCTGGATCATCCTGGCGTAGAGCAGCCGTTCTCCTGGGTGGTGCAGCTGGATGTAGGCCTGCAGGGTCTCGGACAGGTGGTCTTGGAGGGCCTCGATGCGAGCGTGATCCTGCACACCTGGGCGGTCTGCAGAAAGGGAGGGGGGGGGGGGGTGTCTTTAGATATTTATGGGTGTTACGCAAGCTAAAAGCCACCCCTTAAAATTAAAAACTTAATTTGAAAACCGATGCTTTAAGTGTTTGTAGTACAATGTGAGCATTTTAACCATAACTTCTTCAATTTAAATACATATTTGTATTGTATTTTATCTTTAATTGGAAATGTTCACTTCTTTTGTGTTTATAAATATCTTAATTCTATATTATCTTCCTCTAAATGTGTATGTTTATATAAATATTTAATTGTCCTTCGTTTCAAAATGAAGCAACGGACACAAAACCAAATTTCTCCTGGGATAACAAAAGTATTCTGATATATCGTGTTTAGAATGTAATAATATTTGTGCCACTAAAGAAATCCTAGAAGTCAAAACGTAAGCTAACATCAAATTGCCTGATCTTTTAGTTTTCCTTCGGTTCTGGTCAGGTGGCGAGCTAATTTTAGATCAGAGAGAACACATCTAATAAATAATGAGGTGGCTCATATTCAATTCAATGCAAATATCCACTTAGTTACACATGCTTTCTTGCACAACTATACATGTATAATGTATGCACTAACTGCATACCATACACACACACGTTCAAAGGTCCCGAAGAACGCTTAGATCTGCACTTCAACGTGATTCAGGATGACTGACAGATATCTGAACCTGCTTGAGATCATCTCTAATTACAAATATTTAAGCTTGTTCAACAAAAAAGCTGTAATAAGTATCTTCTCTATAGGAGGAAAAGAGGCGATCACTCATAAACAATTCATCGTGACCCCTCTATATGTTGGCCCCCCTGCAGTCAGACCTACCTGGAGAGAGCAGGCAGATGGCCATCAGCATCACATGTTCCTCCTCCTGCAGGTTGAGCTTCTTCAGGCCCACCTGGAACTTCACCAGCGGCTCCAGCAGCTCCAGAGTGTGTCCCGCTGCAAAAACACGCAACACATCATTACTGAGTGCAGCGTATAGAAGCAGCAGAGGAGACGGAGCACTTTTGGACAAAATGTACTTTCCGTTAAAAGGCAGCTCATTGTGGAATAGCCTCCCAACTGAGATACGGGATTGTCCCACTCTCAATAGCTTCAAAGGTCAACTCAAAGAATGGTTGAGAAACAAACGGACATGTAATCACCGCTAAATGCACTTTAACACAGGGGCATCTCCTCTTGCACTTTATGTAGCCCTTGTATCTTCTCCTGCACTTAATATGTCGTAGCTGCTACATTGTACATGTGGTAAATACGTGTGTATGCTGCTCATGCTCTTTTTGCACATCATGTATTTGTTTTTGCTATGTATATAAATGTCATGTTCTTAAATGTTTGGAAATTAGCTCAAAGCTAAAATCTGGCGTATTTACACTTGACGCATCTTTTGTTTTAAGTGTTCATTAATGTGCATTGTCCCTGATGAATAAACGATTAAAATCACATAAGAAAAGCCCTCCAGGGAAACCATCCCGCTTTCTCATTTATATTTCATTTTCTGAGACGGGAAACGTCTTCTTCAGCTGGAATCCTCTCCGAATCCTTTTCTTGCACGCGGAGTGTTTTCCGGTTTGTTTTCACAAAGAACTCCTGCCTGAGAGATCCTTATAATCAGCTCATTTGAATGTGGATCAGTGTTCAAGCCATGTATGAGGTTTTAAATATAAATACATGAAAACACATCCAAATCCTGAAGAACTGATAAATCTCCTTTCCCCTTGTTATGGCTGCTGCTGTGTGATCAATGCTTTCTGAGCACTGACTAAATGGTGCCTGTAGCTGTGAAGCACTTTCAAATTAATTAATCTCTTCCTGTAAATGTTAATGAACTCTCAACAAATATGACATGCTTTGTACTGTATCTTATTAGAACAAAGCATTTGTATGATAGCCTTCAGACAAAAGTAAAGACTAATGCAAAATATGTTTTTTTAAATGTTTTGTTTGAAAAAAACTAAATCTTACTTTTTGGAAATAATGTTTTACTATTGTATTTGATATTTGTAATGATACGAAGCAGTAACTATGATGAATAAAACAAATCTGAAACCAATAAACTGGAACCAGGAAAAAAGATAATGAATTGTAATTGTGTGTCGGAGAGAAACACTTTATTGAATACTTTTATATCTTTTTTTGTAATACTTTCATATTTTTTGATTGGATATTGTGCATTAAAAACATTCCTGTCATGTCCTTGTCAGTTCCTTCAGTGATATTTTAAGAGGAGCAGCACAGAGCTGCTTCTCGACTGCAGACAGTGGTTGTTTTGTGTGGTGCGCAGGTCAGGAGTGACATTCTTCTCTTGATCCCAGAGAGAGGAGTCTTGTTTGAAAGGCAAATGAAAGCCTTGCCCACAGGGACCTCTGCGGATATGTAGGACTGGTTTCGCAGAAAGAACGTATATTAGCATCCTCTTTCCTGTGGGTGTGTACTCAGGAAACTGCCAGAAACCTTTCCAGTACTCCCACACTAATGATCTGGTCACTATCTTAACGCGAGGCCACTTCCTTCAAGCTCTGAAAATAAGTGTTAATGTGTAACGTGTGCGTCCTTTCTTCAGCCGAGCCGAATGAGCTGGAGAGCGTGCGTATGCATAGCTAAACTGTACACGTGGCGTAGTTAATACTGACCTTTGGTGACATCGCTGACCTGATATTTAAAGTCCGGCCCACCACAGCTCCAGGACATGTCTTCCAGGTTGAAGCTCTGATTAGAGCGCAGCATGATCACCTCGATAGCGCTGGACTTGAGCAGGGCGATCTGGTCCTCTGCAGTCAGCTCCCTGCGGGGAACGATATCACTTATGTTAGTGAACCATATATAGTTAATTATTAAATACATTGTCTCTAAATAACATTTATCATGCAGTACTGGCAATGTCTAATTTGAAGGTTAAGAGATACGGGTAAACAAGTGAAGATTCTGGAATATGTCGTCAGCTGTGATTCATGTCAAAGGGATTTTGCTTATCAACCGACGAGAGTTTCAAAGTCAGTCGCTGTCTTAAATGTTTATCAGATACGAGCTGTGCTGGAAGACAAAAACATTCAAAAATATTTCTTTCCGTCTGCTTCCTCCCGCTGTGATGGGTCCCCGTGTATGGAAAACCCATTTGATAAACATAAATCACGCTGTTTCAAGAGTCCTCACTGTCACGGTGAAATCCGGCGTCTAGTAATATTAGGAAATTTCTTTTTTTTTTTATTATTAAAGACCTGAACTAGCAGGAGACATGAGCTGAAGCCCGCAGGTCTTCAGGGGAGGTCTGGGTGTTTTCAGTGTTTAGGGAGCAGATCATAAGTGGACAAACATTCCAGAGGTAATCCGAGTACGTCCATCACTCACTGCCAGTGGGAAAGACAACTTTCAGGAAATACAGGCCCTGACTCGTTTTAGCCTCGACTTTGGGGTGACCCCCGAGACACTGAGCGCTTGTCCCTGTCAACACACCGAGAGACAAACACGCTGAAAGGTAGCAGCTTCCATGTGTGGAAGGGGGCGGGGAGCAGGGAAACAATGAATAAAGCCTTGGCCAAACATTGTTATATTGCCTTTACAGTCACAATAAAGGTGTCGTGTTTGCCACTGGTACATGATCCTTTACTGTTTTCAAGGTTATCTTGCAACTCAAACCCTTATATCTCTTCATTGGCCTTGTGCAATTCAAAATAAGAAATTGTATTCCCGGAAATAGATCTGTTTACGTGCTTAAAACCTGTTGTGATGATCAGATAACTAGAGGTGTGTCTCCCTCCAAAAACAGGTCAGTGAATCACCTACTAACATACTAAAAAGGGCCGAACAGTGCGCAGGACAACAAGTCCTTGGCAAATGTACAACCTTGAAGGAACAACACAAAATAAAAACATTTCCCACAATGTGTCAGCTATCTGTAAAATACAGTCCATCAGTAATCTCTGGCCTTTAGACCACAGCCATTACTGTGGCACAATATCGACTAATCAGGCAGAAAAACAAGTAGGTGTACAAAGTCTTCCACACACATTTAGGTAAAGAGTCACGCAGACATGAACATTAAAAAGAAATCAAGAGAAGTAGTTCTGAATATTTTGTCTGGGCGTTTTCGTTATTACTAATATGTTCAAGAAGTCCTCACTGGTTAACTTGAGCTGCTCTACTCTATATTAAAAAAAAACTGAACGACAACAAAGACAATCGGGAAGTCCTCTGCAAAAGCTCAGTTAATATGTACCCTCTTCTCTATCAATCTTTGTCATGTTGGTATGCCCAGACTGAATTGGCCACATGTCATCATCAATAGTTTCAAAGGTCAACTCAGAGAATGGTTGAGAAACAAACAGACGTGCAATCACCGCTAAATGCACTTTAACACAGGGGTATCTCCTCTTGCACTTTAGGTATCTCTTGTATCTTCCCTTGCACTTTATATGTCGTTGCTGCTATATTGTATTACCATGGCATAAATACTTGTGTGTGCTGCTCTTGCTCTCTTGCACTTTTTGCATATCATGTATTTTGTTTTTGCTATGTTTGTAAAATGTAATTTTCTTAAATGTTTTATGTGAGGGACTGCGGATGGAAATGAGCTCAAAGCTAAATCTGGCACTGTTACGCTTGACACATTTTAATGTTTTAAGTGTTCATTACTGTGCATTGTCCCTGCTAAATAAACGATTAAATAAAATGAAATGTCAGCCAACTGACATGTTTACTGGCTATCTTACAGTTCATTGTAAACCTGGAAAGAAAAAAATGTGTTTTCTGTCTCCGAGTCAAATTGTCTAGATAAGGCAGGTTTCTGTCTGTCTAACATCTGACTAATGCAGAGTGACAAGAGTCAAAAGTCTGTCAGACACAAACACAGGTATAATCTTGATAATCCTCAAAATATGCTAAAAACTCTTTAAATGGCACTCAAGCATACAATTATAATGTTACTTACTAAACTGCAGCACAAACTGGACATTCTTTTAAGTAAAAACAAACAGTCTTAAATAAGTGCTTGAATACAGGATGTTTGTTTTTATTTAACTTTCTTTTTAAGTCAGAGTCTGCATAGCTTTTTCAAGTCAATATGTGCGTTTATTAATGATTATCTCTATAAGGAATTTCCCATCATCACTTTAGGGTAAGTGTTTTTTTATTGCAATCATTAAATCCACACTAGTACCTGAACCCGGGGATCATCTTGGCAAAGCCGATGACCTTCTGGATGCTGTAGGAGACCAGGTCAGCCAGGTGGGGCAGCATGGAGAAGCTGGAGCCCTCCTCCTCGCTGGAGTCGGGGCTGCTGCCCTGCTCGTGGTACATCATCAACAGGTTGTTGAAGTTCATTTTGGTGTCTACTGACTCTGCAGCGAGCAAGATGAGGACAGCAGAGAGGAGGTCAGAAGAGAAAACAGAGGTCATTCACAAAGCACCATGAAGTCACACTATTTCTTTATGAATAGACACGCTCAGCGCTGAGAAAAACAAGAGAAATGATGGAACCGAGAGGGCCTGGTGATGGAAAAGGATCATCTGAAAATACACGAGGTCAGTAGGAGTGGGATGAAACTGAGGTGACAGCTATGACAACATGTGAAGCATGCAAAGCTTGCTGGGGTTGTTTTCAGTCATTTGTCTCCACTGAGTGTTGGCGGTATGCCACGGGACTGTGTCCCTCGCTGTGTGCACTCCATTAGTGACGGGTGCATTAATGAACTCATGTTTACAAGTAGGAGTCAGGTGTCGGGGTTGTTCACAGAATTTCCTCTGGATTCTCAGTAAAGCAGCACAACAGATTATATACGCCAACATGCTAACAGCTGAACTGGAAAACACTGCCGTGTTAAATTAAGTATTAACTGATTTTCTAGAAACTGGCCTGACAATTGTGGGACAGATCACCTTGTATTTAAAGTCATTATTTGTGTTTAATACCTCAGTTACCATTTCAGTTAAGTGACAGCTTATTTTTGCTATTTTTAATATAAGATTTGCTGAAACTAGTTTGATTGTTACCCTGGACAGTCACAGTTTGCACTTGATTCAGACTGAAGCCTCCACGGTGTGTGACTCTTACCTGGAGAGTGACTGAAGGAGTCAGAGGAGGCATCAGACAGAGAGTGGAGGGAGGCCGCTCTGCTGGCACTACGCGTCACCGGACCCTCACGCACAGGGGGCTAAACAGCAGAAAAGTGGACGGAGAGATACGGAGGATTATTAATTAGTCTAGTCACCAAAAAAATGAAATAATAATAATCTTGGAATATTTCACAATTATGCTGTAAGAAAAAAAATGCATCTTCATTCACAATCTTCAAATACAGCGCACCAATTTGTGATTTTGATTCCCATTATATATAATATGAAGTAGTTTTGTTGAATATCTGTTGAAAAAATAAAACACAAGGATGAATTCTGATGCACTAGAATTACAGGTTAGAAAGGTCTGAGGTGTTTGAGGGTGATTTAACAGTTTCCAAAGGTTAACTGGACCGTGTGAGATGTGTGTGTTTACAATACAAAACATGACCCTTGTTGACAGGCCGTGGAGTTAAGCCAAAGCAGAAACATTTCTGATGTGAGCAAACAACAACACGAGTATGCTTTCAACCACTCTGTTGAAATGACAAGCATAATTGCATAATTGTTTATCTCTGTCTGTCAATATAAACCCTTCGAAGCTGAAATAAATGTGTCTACAAAATGTTAATATCATGATGAGTATATCTGAATAATCCACAAACCCTGAAGCGGCAGAAGTCAGTGTAGGAGTCGTCGTATGTTTTGTGGTGCGCCTCCACCAGCGTGGCGATGACATGGCTCTGTTCATCGCTCAGCCGGGGCCGCCGCGCCTCCTTCTCCGCTTCGCGCATCGCTTCCTCTTCCTTCCTCCGCTGAATCAGGTCCTTCTTCCTCTGCACTTCCTCATCTGTCAGAATGACTGAGGGGGACAATATAAAAGAGACAAAGAGAGACAGAGAGTGTTAGAGTAAAACTAAACCTCAAGCGGGGTAAAAGCAGGGCGACTAGTGGGGAAAAATACTTTAGGACATAATAAATTGGTTGCGGTACACCACTTTTAAAGCTTTTCAGTTTGTTGTTGCGTTTGATTTTTTTACGACAGCTATGTCAATGTGAGGTTGTCAGGGCAGGGGTTGTTATTCTCTGAAAGAAGCGAATGGGAGGGGATGGGTCCATATGGAGACCCCTGCTGCAAAGAACAAGTGAACGCATTGTCTCTGTTCTGTTTGCTCCTTGTTGTTCTAACCACTGAATTAGCTCACAGAGACAGAGAGAGCCGATGCTGCTGTTTTGAAACGGCAATGCCACTGGCTCCTCTTAACAGTACAGTATATAACAGTTCTTCCCAGAAACACTGGGGAGGAAAGAACGTTCAGCTGGAAGTGAGAGGCCTTTGCTTAAAAGAGGCCCAGGGACAATATCCGGATACATGAGGAGAAAACACGGGGAAAAACGTACCTGCTATTTACAGACCATGAAAATAAACAAGGCTGTGAGGAAAGAAGAGGCCTCGCTAGTTTGTACATAACAGCAGGTGTTTGAACTTCAGATGGAGTAAAGTCACTCTGTACAATGTGGGGAGGCTCTACTAGTTCAAACAGAACATGTTAACACTGTAATGGGGGCGAAGACCCAGAGATACTTGACCCCTGTCCAAATATTACATAACATATGTACAAAAGGGACAGTAGGCCCCCAATACTGCAAACACAGAGTTGTGTAAAGTTTGCGTTTCATCCAAAAAAAGAAACAAGAAGAGTAGACTGTTATTAATGTCTAATTTATCTGCAAAAAGCTGCTATTAATGAGCACATAAGTGTGGGGTGACCACAAAATCTGTTCAATTATTATACCTATGAATATATTCATAACCACTATTTAACCCCACAAAAGGGGTTATCCCTATTTGAATACATGTAGTGCATCACACAATGTGATATTGCCCTAAAGCATATGGCTCTTGTGTCATACTTACATTCTTTCATCATGCCAATGTCCACACAGCGTTTGAGCCGGCATGCCTGGCAGTGGCGCCGGTTGTCCTTGGTGATGGTGCAACTGCTGTTAAAGGGACACGTGAAGGCGGCCTTGCGCTTCATGCTGCGCCTAAATAGATTGTATACATTTTACAGTCTGTTAAAATACACACACATATATCAGTTCATGGACACACAATAGTACGATTCACTGACAAGAATCAAGTTCTATTTTTGTGTATGAACATTATAGCAACTCACTGGATTGACTTTGAATTGAATAAGTGGATAAATAATTGTAAGTGAAAAAGCATAAATATGGATGAGTACTGGGAAATCTAAAGAAGAGTCCTTCGAAAGTGTGACGCAAAGCGTAGTGAGTCAGTCATCAACGGACTGCATGTACTATCATTTATTCACAGATTTGATGAAAAACACACAGATGCATGCGTGGTGAGAGTTCAAACGAGGGCCAGCTGAGCGACGAGGAAGGACATTATTAAACATCCTTTCTTTTTCATCCTCCCCCTTAAAGTCTCAACACCACCCGCCGGGAGGAACGGACGTAAACGGGCGGATACATCAAACACACACAAGCTCAAACAATCATTACTTGCTATAGTTATGTCTTAAAATTAGAAACTCATGTGTGTATCAATGATCTGACAGCAGCCAAGGCGTTACCCGTAGGAGCGAGCTCATTTGTATTCTCCACCTGCTGCTGCGCATTACTGTGAACGTGGATGTTGCCAGTGCTTTTGAGTGTGTTTCTAATGCAACTGTGGGTGGTAATTATATTTAATATGTGTGTGCGTGGGTGGTTGGCCATTATAAATGCATGTTAAGACCGGCGTTTGTATGCTAATGTTTTCATGTGTAAATAACTTGCCAGTCGTCATGCATCACTATACTTTCATCAGGGTGATACAAGTAATTACGCTGCACGAGGCATACTTAGTGCACGTGTGTGTGTACATTGAATATGTCAATATAAGCATTTGTGTACCTGAAAAACCCCTTGCAGCCCTCACAGGTCATGGCGTTGAAGTGGAATCCGGAGGCTTTGTCGCCACACACGCCGCAGATCCGCGGCACGTTCCTATCGAACTCATCGGGGCCCAGAGTGGACGTACTCACAACTGTGGTTTCCATCACTAGATAAAGAGAGGGCAAATGGAGAAAGACAAACAAATAAGCTCCAGGTTATACAAACGGTTCACTCAATAAGGGAAAAACATGAGATGGGTTGCCAACTTGTGGCATCTGAAGTGAATTTAAAAATATGTTCTTAAATTATAATCTGGTTAGTGTTGCGCAAGATATGCGAGAACAAAATAATATTTCATATGACCTACCATAATATTTTTGATTAAGATCTGCTTTTTTTGTGATTACATATAAAGGGTTGTCTCTTTTCAAATTCTACAAACGTTGTCCCTTCCTTCAGGACATTTCAAGTCCCGAGGTTTCCCCTTTAGAGTAGAATTCAACTCCAGTGTATTTGTCCCGGGGTGAGGAACTAAAGCCGTATGAATCAAATGGAAAAACTCTTGTTCCACTCCCAAAAGCTGAATCTGGGTTACATTTGATTACATACTGCTCCGAGTATCTATTTCACTTAACGGCCTCGTGAGAAGGAGAGGGGAAAAAAAGGCATGTCACCGCAAGGCTAGCATCCTCATAAACAAACAATCACTGTCCCTTTTCACAAAGCTCCTTTCTTATTCTCCTCTTTGCTTCCACTGCGGAGTGAAAGCGGAGCAAATGATGGGTGGGTATGGAGGGCCAAGAGAGGAGAGGGTAACTAAACCGATACGATCCTCCACAAACTCACAAATCAGCACCCAATGAGAGGAATGGGCCTGGATCAATCATTTAAAAATGTTTTTGACTGATCAATCCATCACTCATGTCCAATTAAAAACCAATGGTCCTGCTGAAGTTCTCACATACTCTTTTAAATGCAACAACGGTTTTCTTTGTCATGTTGTTTTTCTACTTCAGTGCAACTTTGAACATATTATGTACAGTATGCCTTCAAACCAAACTCTTTCCATGGCCAATTTTATTAACAGGACATAAAACAAAAGGTCAAAATCAGAAAGGAAACAGAGGAGCTTTTCAACTCCTTACTGCTGCTGCAGGCAAGCCGAGCTACTGTACGCGGACGTCTTGTATCTTAGCACCACATGCTTCACATGGGAACATCTGACACGGTTGTTACGGTACAGTGCAACGGTAAACATGCACACGACTGGAAGGAGACGCAGCTGACAGCATATTTTGGTGGGGGGATTTCAGCAAACTGATAAACAATAGACCACAGAGAGACTCATCAGGTTAATGGGAATCCCATCAACCTGGGAAACTTAGGATGGGCTACCGTCGATTAGCCTTAGTGCTCAACTCAGGTTAATCGATCAGAGCCCTTGTTTCTGTTTGGCTGTTTACAATATCTTTCTAAAGCGGCTAATATCAGTTATGATAGTTGCAAAAGAAGAACAAAAAACAGACCTGCATCTGATTTAGAAACTGCTGAATGTGGCCCAAATCTGGAGAGAAAAAGTTCAGATTCCATGTGATTTGTGCACACGAATACAAACAATAGGACATCTTTATCACATGTGTGAAAAAGAAAAGTAGATTTAGACAACTTTGTCTATTCTTATCACTGAACTCTTGAAACAGTGAACTCTGGCCCGATGATTCAAAGCTTAGCAGTAATTTCACACAAAGTACAGAAGGGAGAAAACGTGGGTATCTTATCCGTAACCTGACAAACACAACATTTCATTTACTCTTATTGGAACATTTACTGTCCCTCTGCACTAGGGCTGTGCAATTAATCGTATTTTAATCGCAATTACGATTTTGGCCTGCCACAATTACGAAAACAACATAATCGAAAAAAACAATTATTTTGCTTTGCAACATATTTGATCTAATTTATTTTTGTCTAATTTATTTGTATTTATCATATTTATATATGTTTAGTAGCTTGTGGAAGTGCGCTCCAAAATATTTGTTGATCTTGTTTATTGGTATTTATTATTTTGATATTATTTATTTAAATGTATCATTTATTTTATTTATTTTTGTATTGGTTTTTCAGTTGAATTATACGTTCAGGGTAATCAACAGTTAAAAATATACCGTTCAAATTATTATTTGTATTTGTTTTAAAGTTCAATAAATGGATGTTTTCAAAGTCAATGAATAATCTTATTTAATAATCGTGATATCAATTATTGACCAAAATAATCGTGATTTTTGCCATAATCGCACAGCCCTACTCTGCACAACACTTATTTGTTTTGTTGCAATAGCCAACATGCTTCTAAGGACAGAACAGGCAGGAGTGTGTCCTGAACTCCCCCGTGCAGAGGCAAGGTACACACGTAGGTCCTTCATACCAGGCTATGATGCTATTGTATTCTACACATTTAATATCTTCATGGCCACTTTACAAATAGGGTTTATTCATGGCCACATCAAGATAAGGCCTCCACTATTTACTATACGATAACACTAGTCACCAAGGTGATGTAATATGAATGGGCACAGGTTTTACATTTCAAGCACTCCCGCCATGCAGCTACATAATGTGAGTGACATGCTGGCCAAGAGTCTGAGGCTACTTGGAGTTTGTATACAGGCAAATAATTTGAATGAGCCAGTACAACGAGTTATTGCAGCCTGAACCCCCCAACCCAATCGGGATATCTGTTAGATTATGATTATTGTGGTGGCTTTAAAAGTGAGAACAAGTCAGCAAATAAGCAGAAAGCTTGGCCAGGTTATGAACACTACTTTCTAGACTCCTGCTGACTTGCACAAGATATCCCTCTTTACTTAAATCGCACCAGATTACACTCTGGGATTTATTTGAGCTAGTTGAGAGTTTTTGGAGAGAAATGTGTTACTATGACTCTTTTTAAATTGGTTCCTTTTGTGTTTGGTGTAAATATTGATTTTCAATGAAAGAATGTTGGAAATAATTTCCTTTTTTTTTTTTTTTTTTAAATCAACAAGCAATTTGTTTTATTTGAGCAATTTACCGGGAAGAGCAGATAGCAATGACTGACTTGGATAGCCATGACTGACTTAGATAACCCCTTAATTTATTGCAACTTATCATTAAACATATTTTCTCATATGGTGATGCCCTATTGAAGAGGTTAGATTATCAACATACATCGATGTCATCTATCGATGACCAAAATGAAGAATGGCAGCATCTTCAGCTTATTTGAATATATAATTAGTCTTTTGGCAAAAAAAAACTGCCATCATATAATATAATATTACACAACACTAACCAGAATAAATGGCAGGGTGCTTTATAGAACATCAAATCTGTTCGGCTGCATGTCAGCAAACTAATCCCAACAAGCACTCGCACTCATCACTCACTGTGAACCAAGAGGGAAAACACCCATTTACCATAGCATATCATCAACTGATCAGTGAAGTCACTCCTCTGTGATTGCATTTAGCCATGACAGGCCATTATACTAAATGCACAGTAGTATTGAGAGAGCGCTAAATAATGCATGAGGTTATTAGACCAGATCTGTACTCATTCCTGTCCCGGGCACGCTCAGCTAGAGAACAGGTTTTGAGCTTCAGGCTTCTACTGGATGTCTCACTCTTGAATGATATTGTGTGTACGACATGCGGCGGCATAAATCAAATCTGCCATTGCAGTAATAGTGTGAGACATTACTCATGCGTTACAGCCTAAGGATAAAGCGTATCAATGAGGTTTCCGATTAGCTCACAGGGCTGACTACTGCTCTTTGACTATAACTAGTGTGCTTAAAGATTGTAGCTTAACTACTTGACCAATTTGAGAATCACTGTCATTCGTTTTGAATTGGGCCTTGCAGCATTATTATGCATTGCCACTAACAATATTAGTTAGAAACTTTTCAAAGCAATTGTTAAACTCCAATGTGTCGGAGCTGAAATGATTCACTTCCTGCAAAAAGAAGCAGCATATTTTAGACCGGAATAAGATGTCAAGAGCACAGTGAGCATTAATTATAGTGTGTCCTCTGCTTGTTACGTTCAAGTCAGGAAAACTTGTCAAAGGTTGGCAAGTTACCAAAAAAAGGAAAGCCGTTTTTATTTTAAGCAGTACTCTTTTTCTACATGTGCATGTTTCTGTTCCAACATCTAATTAACAATCTTAGGCAGCAAGCCAATCATTAACAAAGACATGACCGATGAGTTGAGAGAGGACTCGTGCTGTCTTGAATATCTTTGCCAAACATATTTAACTATGTACACTAAAAAAGAAGATTACACAAGGACAATCTTCTGAATGTGACCGACTATAAAAGTGCACATATCCCTTATAAAGTGGGGAGCTACTGACTGTAATTAGGGGACATCTCAGCATCACGGCTAGTAGGAGTTGGAATAAGCTCACACCAGCTTGAATATGAACAACTTCTACTTAACTGTTATGGCTGTTACATTAGCAAATGTGAAATACTTTCAATCTCTTTAGTTGTCTTTGGCATTTATTGAATATGCTCTTGTTAATTAAAGCAGTGGTCACAGTGAACATAAGCGTTTTCATAATTTTGTACTTATTTAAACAACCACATGCCCAGTAGGAAGTTACAAGAAATGCTGGTTAAGCACCGTGTTTTTTTGCAGCAGCATAAATTCCTGTGTCACATGTTAGGCATAATTGTACTCTGCATATGTGTCAATTACACGTGTAGTACAGATGAGCTTGCATGTATTGCCCTCCGCTGTTAAGAGTCCGAGAGGAAGTGCCAGCGCACACGAGAGGGCAGAGACAGTAGTGTGGAAGAGAGAGAGGGATGCACTGGAGAAGCAGGCCAGAGGGCACGGGGGGGGTCGGGGGGGGGGGGGGGGAGAGATGGAGTAAAAACAGATAGGATATAAACATAGATACAGCGAGTAGGGGAGGGGTGACCTCTTTGTCACAATGACTTTCTGTGTCACAAGGCGGATGTGAGAGAGGAATAGTGTGTGAGCACTCGACAGTGGCCCAGAGAGAAGAAAACAACACAAACAGCCTCATTTTGTTATCCTAAAAGAAGGCTAAAAATATACTGTCACAAGCTACTTCAATTACTAGCTAAAAATAAATAAATGTCTCATCTCTGACAGCGTCTCCTCTTGAGAGTATCCGGGGAACTATTATTGCTATAGGATTTAAATGTTTTGTATGATTTATCTCAGTTGGTGTTGCTTTTACTCCCTTTATTTAATCGAGATGTTTATCCCTAATGCAAATCCCTTGTTGGCCTAAAAGACTTTAAGGTTCAAAGCACGGAATGGATTGGATAACAACCCATGTGACAAACACACCCCCCTGCTCAGCCAATGAGAAAAAAGACATTGAAGACTGGCACAGTTCCGTTTTTGGGGTTTAACAAAGGACATAGAATACATCTGATGATTGCTTCCTCAGATGAACCTTGAAATGGCAGAAAATAGGGATAAATTACTATTTTCTGAAGCAAAGATGTCTTGTTTTGTCCAACCAACAGACCAAGCCCAAAGATATACCAGTAAGCAGCTGGAAGATGGAGATGTTTGGCATTGACAGATTTATAATTTCAGCTTTATTTAAAGTATTCACAATTTTTGACAAACGAAGAGAGAGGAATTGATCATGTAGCGCAAAATAATCCCTTTTGGATGCGAAACTGATTCATCCTAAAGAAAGAGGTAAAAGAAACTCAATCTGATGAATACGGGGATAAAAAGATGGAAAAGAATGTGAACTGGAAGCCTGGGGTTTGGGAGTCTCAGTGAAACAGCATCAGTGGTCAATGAGCAGGAGATGAGGCCTGCTGTAATTACGCGCAGTACCGCAAACTGACTCAGGCTTGTCATTTTAAATGGGTGGTGAAAGCTGCAAAATAAAGACATTACCCTAATTTTGGTGGCGTAGCTAGGGAAGAGGCTAGGGAGTTTCCTTTTCTCTTTATCCCAACAAATTAAACGAAGGGGAGCGAAGTGCTTCTTAGCATGCAGTGGAGCAGTGACTCGTCTTTTCCTCCTTTGATTTATTTACATCATGTCTGAAATGGCACGCACGTGTCCCTTAACCTAGGGACTGACGTGACAACCAGTCCCTAGGTTAGATGTAAAGACATGACACTGTCTGCAGAAGCCTTAATGTCAACATTTGATAAATTGTTGAATCTAAAGATGAATCGTCTTGTGCTGTTGGGGGGGCCTGGGCTTAATTAAGAACAACATGTCTTGTCATATAAAATAATATCTATAAAAACGTTGGTCTAACCGACACCACATTACAAGTCCAGCGATTAAATATTAACTACTGAACACCTGGCCAATTTTTTATTTAGTGGAGTTGAAGGAATATTCTACCAAAGTGTGCATAAAATGATTTAACCTGCGTCTCATTTATCAGCGTAAATTGTTTGCACCATCTGCATCCCAAATGTATACGTCTAACTCGCACCTTCTAATTAGTTGACATTAGATGTCAATCAGTGCTAAATTAAATCTCGACTACAGATGGTGAGAACCTTAGGGACATAGAGTCGAGACTTGATAAGTGCTAATATGAGATATAGTAACACTCTACGCCGATGATATTGCACAATGAGTGCAGTACTTCGAAAATGGTAATTCCTGAATATTTGTATTACTGCTGCAGTTTGATCTGCTGTAAAATATTCATCCAGGGATAAGTGCCAAGGTGCACCATGGCAGGAATCCAAAACCACTCATAAAAGGTAGCTTATTTCCTTCTGTTCTACTTGCTACTTCATTTCATGCTGCGCCATTGGTTTTCTTTGTCAGGTGCCCAGCTAATACGAAAAAGACATAAGTGAGAGCTTAGCTGCAAAAAAGACCTGGAGCACAGCCCAGATGTTAGATTAACTTTCATCAAAGTCAATATTAAGTGATTATAAACCCCACCCTCCACCAACGCCCACCATCTAATAAAACTAATTAAGTGGGGCCATTATTGCCTGGGAGTTGAAATGAAACGTGATCGTCGACATGGCAAGATATACCAAAGTGGGTAAAGAGGAGGATCCAGACAGCGTTTCAAGGAGGGATCATTTTAACTGCACACAGACGTGCAGAAGAGCGGGAAATAAAAAATAAAAACTCTGGCATCACGTCTCAAGAATGTCAGCAATGAGCTTATAGACCACATCCCAACACATAAGAGTCAGAGTCGGAATCACATCCAGACTTATAACAGCAGAGGAGGAAAGAGAGGGAGTGCTGTGGAACGCCTGACAGGGAGAAGGAGGACCTGCCTGACAGTCCAATGAGCATCCTCCGTCAACATCACATGACGCAATCCCACAAATGGTTCTGAAATTGTTCCATGCTGCCAAAAGTTTCTCTTAAAGGGAAAGACAGAGAGAGCGCGAGAGAGAACAGGGAGAAGTTGTGGAAAGGGTTGGAGCGAGAAAACATAAGGCTATGTGTTTTACTGCATACCTCGGGTTAGGTCACTACGAGTACAGAAGAGACATAAAATAATCATATCTGGAATAACCCGGCCTGCAGATCAGGGTTATAAATATAAAGTACACACCGTAATTCAAATATGATGTGTGTTTAGAAATTGCCTAAGAGAAACAATATGGGAAAAACAGATCGGGAAAAGAGAACAATGGACAAAAAGAGACAATGTGGACATAACAACAAGTCGACAAACTGAGTGAATGCAGCTAAACAACTGGCTGAGCAGACTAGTCCAGTCCTGTCCCTTTGCTTCCCCCTCGTTCTCCCTCCCGCAGCCTCCACGGGTCTATCTCATGCTCTTTTCCTGCGATCACAGGGAGCATGTTACAGCAGCCGTAACAGCACATGACAAGGTGACCTGTGCCCCACACAGGATGGGCTAAACTGGGGTGGGGGGTCACATGTCCTGTGTCCAACCCTATGGTCTGTGCACCACTCCCCCCCCTGCCCAGGCCCCAGCGCTGGCCTGCAAGGCGAGAGAGAGGCAGTGACGGCAGCCTGCCCCCTTATGCTGGGCCCCTTGCTGGACTCTGGAGAGGGAAAAGAGACGAGGCAGGGAGAGGCCCACTCAAACACACACCGAAAGTCCTGTTTATGTCTATGCCGAATTTGACAGAGAATGCACATTCTCAAGCACAGAGAGTTGAGCACGCAGAGAGCCAACTGGACAAAACCAGACAGGCAACAGAAATCTGGGTGAGGTGGGTGCAAATGCGAAAGCCCACAAGTTGAAGTTATATAACCTCAAATAAATGGTATCCCCCCTCTCGGGAAATACGTAAATACTGTAGATGAGAAACAACAAAACACTTTTGAAAGATGGAAAAAATGTATACGTTACATCCATAATTCAGTTGTAAATAAATAAATCTAGATATCCTTCAATGCCCTATTTATCAAACAATTAATTATATTGTTTTATTCTGGACGATATCTTTCTGTATGACCTGTGCTCCATATACAAACAAATTCTACCTGTGTGATGATGTGTTTGGCCTACAAACCATTAACCAAATAATTGAGGACCAAAAGACATTAGGGGGAACTTAACACTTCATTAGTCTCATATGCAACTCAACATATGTGGCAAACAGCACGCATGTACAGACGTACACACAAGTGGGTCTTTACAAGTACAGCAGCCTCCTTCTTTCTATAGGGGTACATGTGAGAGGAAGGGACCAATTACTGTAGTCACGAAAGGGGGGTGGGGCGGGTATTTCAATGTACAGAAGACCTAATGGACTGTACCATCTCCACAGCACACAGGTCCATTACAACCTGCTACAGATAAAGTCAATACAGACACCAATGGAGCCCATTTTGTATCTTCACACACAGAAATACACTGAAAATGCATTCAGAAGTTGAAGGATGAATGGTCCTCATTTGGGTTGAGTCTCCCATTCGGTCCCAAATAACAGGTTATCTCGTACATTTCCACAACATATAAATTCAGAACATGTGTGGCTGTTGATCTCAAGAGTGCCAAGTTGTTGAGGAAAGACGACAAATTCACTTTTCTAAAACAAGCAATGAAGAAGCAGACATAAAAACACCATCTTCCCTACTGCGTTACAAATGTCCATCTCAATATTAAAATGTGTATTTACATCCTGTAATTTGGTCCCCTTCAGATGTACTTTGAAGGGATGAGCAGCAGAGAGAAGCGCTAGAGGCTTTTTGAATTTCCGAATCAAGTAAGACAAGACGCTCGTAGTAATAAATGATGTCATTATCAGGCAGGGGCTCAGTTCTACATGACTATGCTGTCAGTGGTTAAGGAGTAAAAATAGGTGTAGATTTAGAAATAATCCTGCCACGCTGTGTGTGTTTGTTTATGTTCCTAATGCTTAGACACATTTTTGGACATGGTCTAACTGTATGTTACATGAAAAGAGGGCTGAATTCTCCACTGACCCCTGCAGCCTATCTATGTTTTATCATGGGTTATTGTGATATTAAAAAGGGAGCGAACTAGCTCATAATTAATTAAATAAATTATGGGGGAAATTCCACAAAGTGTGCACATCCCTATAAGTCAGGCCTTTAATTTAAAAGGGGGTCACTCATTTAGGTCACAAAGTACTGACATCAACTTCTTTCATATTGTGATGTTACATTCATGGAAATATTGATAATAGTTAATGCATTACATCTTAATACATTTGTACTTGTTCAAAGAATCATAGTTGTGAAATCACGAGACTGAAACAATTCCAGGAGATACGATTGCGGATATGCGTAACATCAAAGCCACATATGTTAGGAGTTGATCACATGTTAATAATAGACTATTTCAGAGGAGATGTTCAAAATACAGCAAGCAACACATATACACGTGCAGGAGGCATGTCTTCAAAGCAACAAAAACATTTCTCACCTGAGGTTTTAGCATTCCCTTGTACAATAGGTAAGTGTTGAAACCTTGCATCAGTTTTTCCCAAGTTGTTAATCCTGTTCAATAGAAAAGCAAAATGGCATGTCGCAAGTCAGTGAGTGGGCCTCGTACCTGACCAGCCGTCCCTCTGTTTATATAACAGTTAATTACTTTCAACAGCAACATGCGCACTCAATTGTGATCAACATGAAGGCGGTAGCGTAAGTGCGTAGGGACACACGCACACACACACACACACACCACACACACACACACACACACACACACACACACACACACACACACCACACACACACACACACACACACACACACACACACACACACACACACACACACACACACACACACACACACACACACACACACACACACACACACACACACACACACACACACACACACACACCACACACACACACACACACACACACACACACACACACACACACACACACACACACACACACACACACACACACACACACACACACACACACACACACACACACACACACACACACACACACACACACACACACACACTAAAACTGATACAACAACAGATTAAAACTGTGTCAAACCTGTTTCCTACGAGGATTTGAGCAACATAAATTACAATTACTCAACTTTAGCATTCCTCCTGTGCATGCACGTTTCATACCTCGGCTCAACTTTTCCCCATGAAGACCCGAGTTGCGTTTAATCCTCTTTAGTCTCTCCGTTGGTCGTCGTGTTCATTCATGCTCTTGCAAAGTGAGTCCCCTCCATGTTGCCTGCTGGGTGGGTTAGCTTCGAGCAGAGAGAGGACCGTGTTGTACTAAACTCAAAAATGTGAGGCGACTTGGGGAGAAAACGTCAAACTCGTACGCCCTTCTAGACGTCGGCACACACACACACACCACACACACAGCAGCGCTGGTAGTAGCTAGCGTTAGCGTGGCTAGCTGGCTGCTTTAACCCTAAAACGAGGCACCAAGTCCAACCAGCTTACTAACCGCTCTGCGACCGCGGCCGACGAACATCCAGCGGAAAAACAGTCGAGACGCAGATTTATTTCAAAGACGTGCAAACGTACGCACTAACATGGAGAAAACTCAATCACACCTACGGTAGTCCGACGTGAAATACCTCCTTCTTCAGGACCCAAATAGATGGCCATTACTTTTTGTTATGCACCGCCCCCTCTTCAGGACCTCTCCGGGAAAAAAGGGATTTCCCCCCCAGCCCCTCCGGTAACCAATCACCGGTGGGCTCGACGTGTATCCCTTGCTGTGATTGGTGACATTTCGGCCGAGCCCGCTTTTCTTTGGTCGGCTCCGGGGCCCATAAGCGGAGAGCCGCCCCCTCAAACAGGGGTGTGTCGTGACGTCAGAGGTAACGGAGAGGTAAACAACTTTGACCGCGTGAGGTTTAAAGCAACATCGTTTCGCCTCTAATCCCTGAATCAATGGACACCCCGGTGTGGGGGATCACCGCACCTACATAATACAGTGTGATTTCTCAATAATGTGTAAAAAGTCCCGTTGAGGTATTTTTTTTCTATTGCGCCACGGTGTCTTTGTTTTGCTGCTTCAGGCTTTGAGCCATATATTTGGAATTTGAATACACAACACCACCACCATCGATACTACGCAGTTGAAATAATAAAACCAGATATAACTGGTCCTTAAACTGCCGCTGTGCGCATTTTGCTTCATCATTTCTTTGACAGTTTGCAAATGTGTGCACTGAGGCGTGTGTGTCGGAGGGGTGTGTCCACTCTGCAGTACAGTGGTAGGCTGGGAAGCGATGCCGATGCTGCATGGCGATCTTGCCATACATTTGCAATGCATGAGAAATGGCCCAGTATGCTAAACATAGACGATTAAACAATCCATTACACGATCACACTGGGCAAACCTTGCTGAATTGTTGAGCCTATACCAAGGTAAATCTCGTTTTGTTTTTTTTAGCAACTACGCATTTATTACATTTGTTCATTCATGGTTGTGTGCACACGTGAGCTATGTGGTGTTAATGGTGTGTACGATGGGGCCAGCGGAGGGGGCCTGGGTGAAGGTCAGGGGTGTGTCTATAATGTAAACACAGTAAAGGCGACAGATACGAAGGGGAGAGGAAAAAGAGAGAGAAGGGCCTCATCCGGTTCCATAGAACTCCTTTTACTCCTGCTGCAGCCTGAAAACAGGAGATAGATCTGTGCAGATTGTAAAGAGAACACTGTGTTTGGCTTTCAGATTATTTAGTATTTCCATTGATGTTAAGGGAGTTGTCTTTCAAGCAGTAGACATTATTTCCTGACATTTTACGAGGTCAGTCAATATATTATGTTTTGTTTATTTTTGTATTAAATAAAAGCTTAACCAAATACAATGCAATTTAAAGGACTTTTATTACGCTACTATTTCGATCCCATTCTGTATATTGTACTATTTTGAAATTATCTTTATTTTGGCTTAAAAACATAATACAATTCTGAATCAGAATCGTAATACCTTTATTCCACAGAGGGGAAATGTACATTTGTTACAGCAAGTAAATAGACAAAACATCAATGCACCCGAGTTCGTAAACAGATGAGTCAATTTCAAATAATATCAGTAACAAAAACATGTAGGCTGATACTACCTTGCCTCTGTTGTTTTTATCAGATGTGTTTCAGGTTTTTTACACATGTATCACCTGCACTAGTCTAACAATAACATGTGCTCTAGCTACAGTGTGTTGTTCACTGCTTTTCTGCTTTCTAAATCACAGCCTGCATTGCATTGCCTCCAAAACAACAAGACATGTGATGACATTCCCTAAACATTCCTGTCCACTCCACATTAGAAAGCTAAACATTTTGTACCCGCTGTTTGGGTAAAGAGTACAGACCACTTAACAATTACGGCCACATCAAAAAGCCCAACTTGCACGTGCAAAGTTCAATGTCAACAAAAAACATGTCCCATTTTATTTTCTGTCTTAAGCAAATTAGCATAACCTGAGCCCTCAAGCACCTTAGACATGTGTCATAAGCTTGTTGACTTTTGATTCATGTCCAGTGACTGGTAGTAAAGTGTGTGGGTGTTAGGTTCATGCCCATGGAGAGTTGATCCTTGTCCTGCGGCTTGGGCGGTTTCCAAGTCTGGCACCAGCATTGGATCAAGCTGCTCCGCTAACAGGGATTTGTTTGGCTCCACAACACCCATGTCAGACATGTATCGTGGCCCAGCCATTTTGTGTTCTCACATGCTCCGGCCCTTCACAGTGAGGTGGCCCACTGTTTGGAAACCAGAAGAGTGGAAATTGTAAATCAGAAACACTTGACACACTAAAAGTTAGCACCAGTGCCACAAATCAGTTTTGTGGCACTGGTGCAGGAAAATAAATAACTTGCATAGTAACACATGCCTTAAGAACATAATGAGTTGACTTTATATGCTTTTCTATGGTGTAAAAGGACAGATAAGGACATCAGATTACACACATATTAGGATATGCACATCCAAGAATGTGGCTGCAGATTTATAGGAGATGCATTTCATTTGAATTGGTTGGATTAAGATGTTGTTATTACCACCACAATAACAGAAAAATAAAACATTACAGATAAAGACAATCATTTAATTAAGTGGATTACTGTGCCGAGTCAAATTGCCCTCAACTGCATGTCAACATCATGTTGCACGAAAGCAATGTACCGCAATTTGAATTGTGGACTTATAAAAGCTGAGACAATTCATGAAACGTAAATAAAAAAACTGAAATTACAATTTAAAAAGTGGGTTTAAAAGTGATTTACAGATTTACAACCCTATTCTGTATACAGCAGAACAATCAGGTCAGGGCATATCAGGTAAGATAAGAAATACAACTGTAAAGATTTTCATCTCCAATAAATACATAAACACGTGATTAAACATCATGTGTCTAAATTCTTTCTTGACCTTATCAAACCTATATTAATTACTGAAGACAAACAGAGCCACAAAAGGAATACAATCTATGTCACAAATCATGTTTTTTCTCCCTCCCAAATAAGGGAGTGTTTTGTGAGTAACAACTGTCCACAGCGAATGTAAGCCAAGCCCTCAGGTGCACCAGTCCCCTTAAAGCACCTGAAGTTATCTCCGGACAGATTCTAAAAGCATGTGTTGATCAACTGGCTGATGTCCATGTGAATACACACAATCTTTGCTCTTTGCTCTAGTTAGTACCTTTGCAATACAAAATGCATTCATGTCGGACCTACAGTATGAAACCTAGGATATCCTGCCTGAGGGGACTACCACCCTGTGGCACTTACGTCTGTCATCATGGGATGCCTCGGGCTGCTGGTCAAATCCCACATAGCCTTACTTCCCTTGGGCAATCTATACAGTCTCTTGACCAAATAGCAAACATATTAACTGCTTCTCCTCTGTCACACTTGGACAGGAAGAGCACATATCTGAGAATACTGATTATGGCCCAGCCTTCAATATAATTATCTTCATCCTCATGGACTATGGCTGTGCACCACTATGTGCAACTGAATCTCAGACCTGATGAAAGGCAGAAGGAGATTGGCACTTCCTCCACTCCATTCTCAGCAATGCGGACACCCAAGACTGCGTGCTAAGCTCATGCCATTACTCCCTGATCACACATAACTGAGGCACGGCACCGCAGATTCCTGCTTTCATCAGTCTAAAAATGACATCACAGACATCAGCAAAGTCGCTTACTGAGTTTTCATAAAAGTAGAAAGAACAAACATGTCTGACTTCCAGCCTGGTTTCTGAAACATCATCTACTAAGCAGGAGGTTATTTGTAAAATGCAGACCCATGTATAATACATAAATAACTTGTTTCTTATATAACATAACATTCAGAATAAACGTGCTACTTTGAGAAGAGTATGAATTGAAGCAAAGCCATTTTTTGTTGTTCTTGTGATTTTTATACCCTGGTTTTGTGTGCACATACAAACGTCTGACAATGAGACGTCTGCATATGAGGTAGAGGTGACACTATTAAAAAATGATGTCAGTGAAACAATGTGAAGGAGATAATCGTGGATGTCAGGTAGCAGCAAAGGCCAGGAGGAACCCCCCCCCCCCCCCCATTCTCATCAATATTCCCTAAGTGGAGACAGTCAGCAGTTTCAGGTTCCTTTAGATCAGCAATGCTGCGTGATGTTGACTTTTAAGTCCAGCTTGTCTCCATAGATCCTCACTACCTTCTACATGTGCTACATTGAGAGTATCTGTAGCAGCTGCATCACTGTGTGGTGTCCGAGCTGCACCACCCTGGACGGTAAAGCTGTAGAGCAGGTGATGTAAACAACAGTTTCTCACAGGCAATAAAGGACCAACCCTCAAGGACATTTACCACAGGAGACGCTTGAAGGAGGCCCACAGAATCTTCCAAGACCACACTCATCCCAAAGTCTTTTACCTTCTGGAAAACATTACCAGGACATTATTTCCAGAGCCAGATAGTTCAGGACAGCATCCTCCTCAGTATCATTAGACAGTTAAATGTATTACCAAATATCACTCACTTACATCCTGCCTTCACTGCCTCCATTGCTCTGTTTTGAAACATTTATTTAATATGTCTCTAGTGTAGGTGTTAGTTATGTAATTTAAATAATTAATTGTCTGTAACAGTTAAAAGTAATCAAGTTTATGACCTCTCGAAATTTAGGGTATTATTGAAATAGTGCAAGTATCCAACTAAAGTACTACAGTAAATGCACTTTTTGCCCTTGATTTGAAGCTTAATAATCAATAAAATAAACAGTGTCTCATAATACACTTTTTTTTCAAAGCATTATCCATAAACCGATAGTTATTTGGAAAGAAATGTGGATAACCTTACTATTCTAACAATGATAGCAGAACAGAAGGTATTTTAATGTGTGACTCATGGTTTAGATTAGAATAAGGACTGCATGTTCTCATGAGTGTTTACTTAAACAAACACGTCTCTTTTGAGTCAACAAGTTTGTTATTGCAGCAAATATTTACCGTTGTTAGAGTTAATTCCTTCTTCATAACATTTTACTAATGGCACCTGAGGTAATTTTTCTATTAAATAATTTCTTAGAAGATAGCTGAGAGTAGGACATTTTTCCTGGACTCAGTTCTTAGAATTCTTAAGGCACTAAAACAACTTTGAAAACAGGTACTGCAACTTCTACGTGATAAAGTTAATTTAGGGATGCA